TAATTACTGCTATATGCTAATTACTGCTATATAATACTACATTACACTAGATTACACTGGATTATACTGGAATATGCTAGAATATGCTAGACTAGACTGTACTAGACTATACTATACTATACTGAGTTGTTAAATAAGTTGTATATTTGAACCCTTGATAATATTTCTTGTTGTTATTCTATTTTTCCCCCCAATCTAAAGTTAATGAGTTAATACTACTCAGAGTAACATGTTTGAGGTGCTTGCGTCTAAGTGTAGTGTTTAAACACTGTGGTCCAGCTCTTATACCCGCAGCTGGCTTCAGCTCTTCTGTTTTGAGTCCTTCTTTCAACATCCTTTCATTGCTGTGTCTGTTATTTGACTGATTTGTGTGGTTTGTTTGTGGGTGTGTGTGTGTGTGTGTGTGTGTGTGTGTGTGTGTGTGTATGTACTGTCAAATCAGATCTGACTGGTGCAGCAGGAGATTGTCCTTCCTTCTCCAGCAGAGCATCTGGTGGATTTGAACCACGTGCCTCTGGGATGGCAGTGCAGCTTCTTGCCACTAGGCCACCAGAGCTCCCCGACTGACTGATTCTTTAGGTTGACTATGAAAGCCTGACCACTGTGTTCAGGTGCCGGCCCTGCCGTGGGTCCGCTCGTTGACCTGAGGCGCGTTTTTGGAGCCTTTGTGAATTTCTGTAAGTTGGGAACAGACCTGTTTAACAGGCTGTTTTGTTGCTGGGCGTGTTCATTCATGTCAAGCTTTCAGAATAAGGCTTGCTGGGCTCTATTACATCACATCCTACGCCTAGTGACCCAGCGTGGCAAGAGGAGAACTGTGCAGATGGTATACCGGGCTTCTCTCCTATAGAATGGGGGGTGGATTCAAACTGCTGACCTTTTAAGTAGCAGCTGAGTGGTTCACCATTGTGCCACAGGCCATGGAGAAAGACACAGACACACTCCTTGTTCCTGGCTAGTTGGTTCCATCACATAACAACTCTGTAGGACAGAGTAGAACTGCCCTGTCAGCTTTCCCAGGCCACAATCTGGGTGGGAACTCTGGTGGCCCAGTGGTAAGCTGCACTGCAATCCTGAAGGCACGTGGTTCAAATCCACCAGCCCCACTACCAGAGAAGAATGCGCATTCTCCTCCCGTGTGATTAACTCTCTCTGAAAACCTGGCTATGAGTTGGTGCCACCTCGACGGCACACAGCAACAACAACTACAACAACAACAACAGTCTTTACGGTGCCAGATTGTTGTTAAATCGCCTGTGGAGAGGCTAGTGGATTTGAACCACCGACTTTGCATCAAGTGCAGACACTTCTTACTAACTAACTAGGTTCCAAAGACCAAGGCGCTGTGCAAAATCGGCGCTCTCCAGGAACGGAGGGCCCGCTCTGTCCTCAGCATCACTGTGACCCGGGGGGGGGGGTCTACTCACCAGAGTTTGCACATGTGGTGAAACGTCATCTCACAAGCTTGGGGCATGTTGTCAGGAGGACCTGGACGTCCTGCCGGGACAGGTCAGAGGAGGAGTGGAAGGCCCTCGAGATGGACTGTCCCAGTGCCCGTAACAGTGAGCTCGGACACATCGGAGTTGGTGAGAACAGGGCACGACAGGTCAGGCTTCAGATCTGTTGTTCAGAGGGTCACTGGGAGTCATAGCCAACTCAATGGCACCTAACAACAACACCACCACCACCAACAGCAACTTCACAAATTTCTAGCCTTTGCTATTGCTACCATTTGTAACAGTTTGTGTTTGTTTTAAAAAAAAATTTATTATTTCATGTGTGTGTACCGTCAAATCAGGTCTGACTGGTACAGGAGGAGATTGCCCCTCCTTCTCCAGCAGAGCATCTGGTGGATTCAAACCACGTACCTCTGGGATTTACAGTGCAGCTTCTTGCCACTAGGCCACCAGAGCTCCCTCATTTGTAATAATTTTTTTATTCTTGTCTGTCTATAAAAGTGCTGTGGATTTGGTGGCGTCTAAAGACCAAGCTTCCACTCTAGCTCAGTCTGAGAAGTTGAGTATCCGTTGTCCAGATTAAATTATCTGGCGTGCTCCTGTAGGACGGCCCCTTGTCCTCTGTGGCCAACATTGATAGATTTCTTTTATTGTCCGTAGAAGTGAGGTCAACAGTGGTTTAAAAGGATGTTGTATTTTCTTAGGGAAAACGATCAGAGACACAAAACCTTGCTCAATCTTCTCTCACGCATCACAGGGTTCTGTGAGAACGCTGCCGTCAGATTTATTCCTAACCCCCTTTCCTCCTCTCATTCCGTGTGAAAACAGCAGCTCTCTCCGTCTCTTCCTGATGGGATGTGTTTTTCCTTGCAGGACCTGCTGACCTTCAGGGACGTGGCCATCGAGTTCTCTCAGGAGGAGTGGGACTGCCTGGTCCCTGCCCAGCGGGCTCTGTACAGGGACGTGATGCTGGAGAACTACCGGAACCTGACCTCCCTGGGTGAGTAGAGCACCTCTCCAGAAGTCGCGGTCCCCCTCGTGGGTCTCTTGGAAGCTGCTGGCCTCTCTGCTGCCGTTTGAGATCTCTGCTCTCACGGCAGCAGCTGAGGGGGAGTCAGGAATGGAAGGTGGCCTTCCCACCTCACCTTAGGGCACTTGGTGTCAGACCTTGAGTGAGGAGAACGCCCAGTGAGGCCCTCTCACTGTGTCAAATTCTCCATTTAAACCCCTAGAACTTTGGTCCAGTAATTCTTGCATATGATACGTGTACTCCTCACCTCTCGGCCACCTCATTATCTGCCATTTGTATTTGTACAAACTCTGAAAAAATTCTCAGGTGACACCTTCAGTGAGCTGGGCCCCAGGTAGAGCAGCAGCCTGGGGCACCTTCCACGGACCACCCCGGAGGCCCTGGCAGTGACCGGGCCATTTGTGGGGTGGTGTCCAGCAGCCGCAGTGTGCGTCCTCCTGTTTGTGAGGTCTCAGTCTAGCTGAGGAGGACGGCGGACAGTGTGAGGCCGTAGGTGGTCAGCAGGCGGGAAGGTGCCTGAAGATACTAGGGAGGAGGTGGGAAGAAGATGGGTGAGGGCTGCATGGGGCTGTGGGCTGGGGTTGATGGGGGACAGGCGTGCTGCCTGCCCAGGGCAGGAGGCAGTGCTTGCCAGGCAGCCCCCAGTAATCACCACCACACCACAGGCTGTCCAGTGGTGAGAGAGAGAGAGTTCACTGCCGTATGTACCCCAAGATATGTGGGGTCACGCCGTAGGTGGTTATCACCAAGGGTTGTTAAGAGGACACTGGTGACAGAATACAGAGTGGGCTCTCCATTCTTGGATGACGCTGATTTGCAAAGCACCCCTGTTTTTGGAACCTAGTCAGTACGGGAGCAGTGTGTGTACTTTCACTGTTCCCTAAGCTCTCCGGAGAATGCGCTCAGCGGATGGAGTTTGGCCATCTCTCCCTTGACCCATGTGAGAAATTGTGTCCGCTCTGTGGACGGATAACTTGGAACTTGATCTGGAAAAGCAATAATAGCACATTATGTCCCTTTTCTTTCTGTCTTTTCTTTATTTTTTTTCAAATTAAGCAGGAATCTCAGTTTCCGAGTTGAATATAATCTCCCTTTTGGAGCAAGGGTCAGAGGCCTGGACTGTGGCGGGTAGTGAGAGAGAGAGAGGCGCAGAGGACCCACGCAGGTGGGTCGTAACAGAATGCAAGGAAGGTAAGCGCATAGCTGTTGGAGTGAATGAAAAAGATGCATTGCTTTATAACTTGTATTTTTATAAAAGAAATGTGATGCTGATTCTTTTGGAGGAAGCTAGGCTCTTGTTGAAGGATTTACACACTTCGTGCTCCGGGTAAATGTAGACCCTATGGTCTCATGCATGATTCTTTATGATCAAAGGTGATTATTTGGGGTC